ACAGAGACAGGGAGGGAAAATGAGGAGGTGGAAGGATGGGTAGGAGGTGTTTAACGGACCTTTTTTTGACTTTTGAGACAGTAGAGGGACGTTGGGAGGTTGTGTCGTACGAGGTCTCGTCGTACTGAGGCTTGTGAGAGAACTTCGAAAGAAGCCGAGATTAGACTGAGGCGTTTGTTGAAGTAGGGACCGTCTGAGCCGAGGATCAGCAAAAGGTTTAGATACAGGAGTGATTATGGGAGAGGTAACACTGGAGGTGGGTGTAGAAAGATGGGATACCAGATGTGGGGGGACATTGAAACACGGGAATAAGAAACCCGTGGAGTCTCCCTCGGAGGGCGGAGATTGAGAAAATTGCCTCTGGCATTAAGGGTGAACCTCCTGTCTCTTTGAGGTAACGGATTTCCCGCCTCGTTTAAAAGACCTGACTACGGCTGTGACGTACGAAGGGGTGAGCTCATGACAGTTAGGCATGAGGGCAGATCGATGCAAGACGTATATTAGAATGGTCATCGGCACCACAGACTGGGCATTCGGCGATAGATCTGCAAATTTTCGCTGGATGGCCATAATACGCCAGCAATTTCTACACGTTGTGGTGCGCAGGGATCCCTTTCGAACTTGAACCGATGTCTGCTATATAAAACTGAGGATGAGGAGTTCTCGGCATCTGTCAAAAGTTTAAAAACGAGCCACCATTGCTAGGGTTCGTCTCGCCTCGGGCAGGAAGAAACGTAGTGTCTACCTTGTGGATTGGGAGACCTTGAGTTCCTGCTGTTCAAGATGTCAGTGCCACATGTCTGGATATTTTGTTTGAACTATGGTATGGGGCAGGCAGGAAAAATGAAGGTACCCACTACAGAATTGAGGGAATGGTTGTTTTCAAGAGTGACAGGAACTGTATCGATATGGGAAAGACGAGAGGCTCATGGAGCCTGGGTAGCTTTCTGTACGGTATGAATGCGCGTACCGCTCTTAAGAGCATTGAAAGATATCTTTAACCAAATGGGTAGGAGGGTGCCTTGCCAATACTTATGGTCAGAAAGATAGGCTCATGTAGAGGAAGTTGGTCGTAAAGTGAAGAATTAAGTCCATCTGTTCAGTCTGAATCTGAGCGTAGGAAATGTAGTGAAGGACGTGTCGATCGTTTCTGTGAAGAACGAAGAAGGTGGATGAAGTATATCAGCAGGCAATTGTCGTTGGCCCGGTTTAGGCGTGGGACAGAGCTGTTGGTTGCGTGAAGGTGTCTGCGTTGGAAAAATTGCTGCACCGTATAGTTAGAGGGAGAGGCGGAAGCATAGTAGTGGAGAGCGAAGGTCCGATAAAGCGAAGGAGTCTGTCGACGGCCTCAGTTCCTGAAGGCGGGTGAGGCAAACAGCACCGGCAATAGGTAGAGGCTGAGGAAAGTCTGAAGAGTGGTCCAAAGAAGAGGTGGGTCAGGAACGGGTAGCGGTATCAAGAAGGTCCCTGGGGGTGGGGGGCGGAGCGGGGGGGTACCAGGTTCATGTGACTAGGGTGCCATGGTTAGGTTACTTTTCGTTTGTTTTAAGAAAAAAAAAAAAAAAAGGAAGGAATAAAAAAAAAAAAAAAAGGGGGGGGGGACCGGGGAGGGATAGTTCTAGGAGGAATGGGGAAAACGGGCCCCTAGAAGAACCACCCAGGGCCTCAGAACCCCAGAACCTCCAGGACCGGCACCAGCAGAACCAGATAACCCCCAGGAGACCTACCAGCACCCAGAAACCCAGCCAGAACAGAACCTGCAGAACACGCAGAAAGAACAGAACCAGAACCACAGAACAGTCCCCCAGAAATCCTCCTCCGCGCCCAAGGGACCTCAGCACCGCGAGTAGCGCAGATGCAGCATGGAAACACCGCTGTGCAATACCTACCCATCCTGCTAGTAAACTAACAATCCAGGTTTAAGGAACCTCACATCTGCCGAGCTACCTCGGTGGACATTAAGATGTGAGTGCGGCCGGATATCCACCACAAGCAATACCTCCTTCGGCCACCACCCGGAATCCGAAAAAGGTGGGCTTCCACGAGATACACTCGTCGCCGTAAGACACCCAAAGCTTACTCCGGGATACCGGAGAGGGATGGGGACATACCTCAAGGCGAATCTAGATTCCACGGCATAACTACGCCACCGCTAAGAACCTCAACGGAATGGGATGGACCCCGGTATCCTTTCCCCTACCTAGGAACTAGCGCGCCTGTGGGAGAAATCCCAAAGGACAAAGAGGAAGGGCAAAAGGGAGGGGTGGGGAGGAGGAAAGGAAAAAGGGGAGGATGGGGAGGATGGGATAGGGGAGGGGAGATTGGGGGGTAATTAGGTTCGGTCCGAGGAAGACCGATAGGTCTAATTCCTCAGACCAAGAGCCTCTTCACCACACCAAGGAGCCCCCCTTGAAGAGGTTAGCAATAGGAACCAGTATGTATATACAAATGGCGTTAACTACTACACAACCTGTTCTTGTTGGAGTCCCACGGGATAGTCTTAAGCCCACTTTTCTCGTTTACATCAGCGACCTCCCAAACGCATCTGAACTTAAACCAGTTTTATTTGCAGACACTAACGTCTTCTCTCGCCCAAACCCAATTATAGCAGACTAAAATAGCTACTAAAAATATCTACCGAGACTATTACCAACAAACTCTCAATATAGACAAAACATACTTAATGTTATTTGTTAAGTTTCAAATGTACAGCTAAAATTGATAAATGGTTCACCCATTTCGAGAGGGGAAATTTCCAGGTCTCCACCTTGACTGCAGTCAAATTCCAGACCCACATACAACAAATATCCAAGTCTCCAAACCAGTAGGCATCCTTTCAGAGACGCGGTACTATGTACCCCCCCCCCCAAACAGCTCTTCTTGCTATTTACCACTTTTACCCTTACCTCACCCATGATATTTGTGAAGGAGGCTCAACCACAACAAATCACCTTAAACGTTTAATAACCCAACAAAGCTGCTATGCGGTTGATTACGAACTCCTGTACTAGACAACATACTCCACTGCTTTAAGATCCTCACCTTATTTAATATGCAAAACTTCCACACTTATTACTGTGCTTATTACATACACAAACATTAATACAACAGAAGAGGCATAACACAAGGCAACTCGCTATTCCTGTCCATCTCTCCGTCTGCAAAAATGCTATGCACAAAGGGCCCGAACACTATACTTGCCTACCAATTAAGAAAAAAAAAATTTAGGACTACTCAACTATTTCATTTACTTTTAAATTTTTCATTTTCATTAATGGAAGTTGTGCTTAATATTTTTTATATACATACTATATTAAAGCTAATTCTTCTCTACGTAACTTACTGAAGCCATATAGCGAGAACTAATACAATATTCAGTTTTCATGTATTTATTATAACTCCTGATGACCACATGTACAACTACAACTGTTATTGACTTGTTAATCTTAAGTTAGTCTTAAGTTTGCCCGAAATGTTATGCTTATTAAGGGGCTTTTGACTCGTTTGTTTACCCAATTCTTACACTTTGTACAAACTTTTATGCTAAAATAAAATTATATATTATCGCACACCTGTTTCAGAAAGGTATACGGTTACAGTTAGAAAAAATATACAATGGCACATGGTATCATGGCTACTATCTTTACCATTAACAGTCCCCCCCCCCCCCCCACCCAAACTTGTCAGTATCTACATTGTGTTAAGAATAGAATTATCAACCCAAAATATTTTATTTACGGTATAAATAACATTAAAATCTTTATTAAAACAATGAACCAAGAGACTAGGCACAGCACTAAAATCTGAAATAAAAATTTAAAATTGTCATTAATTCCATCAGTGTACAAGTTTGTGATACATAGCTGGAGAGTCTTAAATGGCAGTATCAGCTGTTCATTGTTAACCAAACTGGATGGGGAATAAGCTGAACGATAAAACTGGACAAATGCCTTAATTTTTCAATTTAGAAAACACAATAGGGGAAAGTACATCTATGGGGTAGGGAGCAGGCATGTATTCAAGGTTCTGTACTCTAGGGAAGGTTGGTTTTTTGCTTGGTTTCCTTGTTGTAGACCTTGCAGGTATTACTGACAAATTTCTCGAACTCTCTGGAGAGGATGTGGCATCGACAGTCATGCTTGTAGCTGTTGTATATGTGGGAGTATCAGGGAACTTTGACGATCTTATTTCAGTAGAGATTTCTATTTCACCCTCGTCACCTTCCTCGTCGTCACCATCACCTTCATCATCGCCATCATAGCCATCTTCATCCTCGCCATCTTCTTCATCCTCACCACCATCTTCATCCTCACCACCATCTTCATCCTCACCACCATCTTCATCCTCACCACCATCTTCATCCTCACCACCATCTTCATCCTCACCACCATCTTCATCCTCACCACCATCTTCATCCTCACCACCATCTTCATCCTCACCACCATCTTCATCCTCACCACCATCTTCATCCTCACCACCATCTTCATCCTCACCACCATCTTCATCCTCACCACCATCTTCATCCTCACCACCATCTTCATCCTCACCACCATCTTCATCCTCACCACCATCTTCATCCTCACCACCATCTTCATCCTCACACCATCTTCATCCTCACCACCATCTTCATCCTCACCACCATCTTCATCCTCACCACCATCTTCATCCTCACCACCATCTTCATCCTCACCACCATCTTCATCCTCACCACCATCTTCATCCTCACCACCATCTTCATCCTCACCACCATCTTCATCCTCACCACCATCTTCATCCTCACCACCATCTTCATCCTCACCACCATCTTCATCCTCACCACCATCTTCATCCTCACCACCATCTTCATCCTCACCACCATCTTCATCCTCACCACCATCTTCATCCTCACCACCATCTTCATCCTCACCACCATCTTCATCCTCACCACCATCTTCATCCTCACCACCATCTTCATCCTCACCACCATCTTCATCCTCACCACCATCTTCATCTCACACATTTCATCTACCACCATCTTCATCCTCACCACCATCTTCATCCTCACCACCATCTTCATCCTCACCACCATCTTCATCCTCACCACCATCTTCAAAAGTAACAGTGGTGGTACTGGTGACCTCTGTATCTGGTGCCTCAGACCTGCCAATAGCCAACTTCCTCTCTGCCTCTTTTGTTGTATCAATACTGGCGACTTTTTCTGTGCCAAAACGGATCTTTGATTCTTCCTCTGTGTTACCAGTTTCTTCAGTGCTTTCATCCATCTCAACTAAAATATCAGTGAAGGTTTTATTCTTTATCACTTCAATTCTGCAAACAGTTATCTCCGTGTCTGCTTCCTCTGTGGCATCATTTTTTTCATTGTTAGCATTCGCCTCTGTATCTGCTTTCTCGAAGGTATCAGTTGTGCCGTTCTCTTCATCTACGCCCAACTTAGTTTCTGAATTACTCTTACCATTAGTTTCAGAGGAATCAGGAATATCGGACTCTTCCTCTATTTTTTCAATATTCTCAGTATTCACTTGTACTGTAGTACCAGTGTTCGTCTCTGGAATGAATTCTTTCCTACCAACACGATTATTGGCTTCCACTGTGGTGCTTTTCACAACCGTCTTTATTTCCTCAGTGGAGCTAGTTGTGGTGCTGGCCACTTTCTTTGTGGTCCTTGGGCTACTAGTTATTTCTGTTTGTGTGGTGTTCATAGCTTTCTGTGTAGTGGTGCTGATTGTCTTTGCTTTCTCTGTGGGCCGGGGGATGTTAGTCCTTGATCTTTGTGTACTAGTAGTACTGCCAGAGTCTGCAATATCTACAGTAGTGAAAGCTGTGCTCTTTTTCGTTGGCACTGCTGCAGGAATGTTGACTAGTTTCTCTCTTTCCTCTGTGAGGCTTTCACTTCGTTCCACCTTTTCCTCAAGTGGGTGAATCTCTTTTCGTGCTCCAAAAGAATTAGTTCCGTTTCCACCATTCAGCATATTAGCTCTGTCTGGCAACTCTACAATGGTTTTAGCTGTGGTAGAAAGCTTCCTAATGGCTGGGTCTACTTTCCCCATTTTTTCAGTGGTGCGGCTTACTACTTTTACCTCCGTATTTTTTGTAGGGGAAAGAGTTTCAAATTTTCTTGAAGCACTGGTCTCCTCTGTTCCTCCAACAATCTTTAGCTTATGTGAAGGGTCTTCCATAAAGGTTTCGGCTGACTTAGAATCTATGCCTGCCGCCTCTTCCTGTATACCATCTTCCATTTCATAGAATGGAAGTTCAGTGACGTAAGTAGCAGGATAATTAATGTCAGTTTTCTCCGTGGATTCTTTAGTAGTGGTTCTCTTACCGACATATGGAATATAGATTCCATTGTTCAGACGTCTTCCCTTCGCTAGTCTGCCAGACGCCCACTCGAGAAGCTCTATACTCTGCCTCGCCTCTACAGATTCCACAGCAGCCAACAGAATCTGCAAGAAAAGGACAGTACATCAATAGAATATACCTGGCCAACCAGCCTTACGCAGCTTTTATTAAGAATAGCACATGCAACAACGCGCTAAACCTGCAGTGTCCTACAGTGCCTGGAGAAGGCGATGCAATAAGGTTTGATGCAAGGGAGGGTAATTTTTATGGTACAGTAATTCTACACGATTCTAGATTAATGAAGTGGGACAGCAACATTTTTCTAATCTTTCTAGTTTAAATTCTTTGTTTAAACAATCTTAAAAATTTCCCATGTAACACCAGCAGGTGCATCCAAAATGGTGAATGCAGTCAAAATTAAATTACACAAATGCTTAATATTGTGAAATTTCACTTTGCACACAAGTATTTCCAACTAACTTCATAGTATCATGAAAAAGCAATTTTTTACTCTTAATGTATAACATGCAGAGGTTTCATAAAACGATTTTTAAACCTGTATAGTTATATATTTCACAATATTACTGAATGCACGGATTTTATGAAGCTGGGAATATCTACATTATGTTCTTACAACGTAATTAAACATGGATATTTAAGACTTGCAGCTGCTGAAGTAAACATTAAACTAAAACTGATCAGAATACTGTGGTTTAAGTTTATACCTTTTGTAGTATTAAGCTCAGATGCAGATGTTAAAATAATACCTATAAATTACATTTATGGGATGTTCATAAACTCTTAAGGGAACTAGGTAATTAGGTTTAACTACAAAAAATATAGAATTCCTGCTATGTGGCCTTCCCCAGCATAAAAAACTTACCTGGTCAAGTTGGTGCAAGTGGCTCTTCATGAGGTGTGCCACCTTCACACTGGTAATTACTATTTTTGCTAGAGTACCATCCTCTACGGAGGTCTTAAGATCACCTTGAAAGCAGCTGTAAACAGCAGAGACAAGAGCCCCTGAGAATAATGCCATATCAGCCTCTGCATCAGACCATTCCATCCTGGCAGACAAGATGTTCATAATTTGGTTTACTGGTTCTGGCACAACACAAGATTCTTCCCACATTTCACGCACGAGGTAGTTCACCATTAAAGAAATAGAATAACCTTTTGATGGACTTCCAAAATGTTGAGAATCATGACCGCCATTTACATTTTCCACGTTCAAATTAAGTGGCATAAAATTACCAGAGTAGCCACCTTCCTCGTCCGTATCCAGAAGTAGGTACTCCTCTCTGCTGGGGTCCTCCACATTACCTGCCATTCGTAACGAAGGTAGGTTTTCCCTTCTCTTAAGTAGCATATTTATAAACTTCTTGACAAAATTTAATTTTTCTAGCTGTTTCTTCATCTGTAGTAGTAGTGAAAGTGTGGCATTGCTGGAGGAAGGATCAGCAGTCAGTTTTACAGATGGTTCAGGTATGGAGGCCTCCAGTGCATCCATAAACTTAGCTGCTTCTTCCAGATCAAATTCAGTTTTTTCTGTATTAAGTTCACTATTACTGCCAGGATCATCTATCATGTCAATTCTGTGATCGTTGTCCATTTCTCTCTCGAGATTTACAGTAGAATCCGTTGTGACGCCAAGATCTACGGCAGGTGAGAAATTAACATTCTTCTGAGCTTCATGTTTTAAGATATGTTCGCGAGTTTCATTAATATTAATAAACATGTTACCGAATGATGAAAGGAAAGAGGTTAAAGCTTTCTCAACCGAGGAATTTGAAGGGAAGGATTTTTCAAATAATACCGTTAATTCCTTATCCACCCAAGTGGAGACTTTAGGAACAACTAGTGCATCAATTATAGGGTCAGTCTCTGGTACAGCTGTTGAGGCTCCAGACGCCACACACCGACATCCATCTGTCACCAATGCATTGACTAGTTTAAGTACACTTTCATTCAAAGGGTCTTCAGCATACAACTCCCGTGTTCCCATTTTCTGCAAAGTAATTAGTTATTAGAGAAACATTCACAAAGAGTGCGAATAAATGTAGAAAATTTTGTACATTTTCCGAAACTAGTTATTTTTAATGTAAAAAAGTATAAAAATGCTGATTTGACCGAGAAAATTAGTGGGAAAAACTACCTGCGGCTGCACAAGGTGGAGATGAAGACGCCATGTTAGAATTCAGTAGTGGAACCACGTAATTTGTGTCAGTTTCGAAGTTCAGAGGCTTAATGGGAATTTGCTTCAAATTTATAATGGAAGTTTGAAGTTAGTCCTGCTAAGAATAACAAGGACAAGAACTTGGCAGGATAGCAAGAATTTGGGTGAATGGGGGAAGATAAAGGATGCAGAATTCATACCCACAGACAAGTAAACGTCTACATACATAGATACTAAACTGTTGAAGAATTAAGACACTTATGCAACACATGGGAATCTTTATTGAAGAAACGTTTCGCCACACACTGGCTTCATCAGTCCAATACAAAGTAGAAATGGGCAAGGAGAGTAGAAGCATGAGGTAATCAGTCCCTCAACCTGGATTCGATGTGTTCAGTCCATCACTCTTGTATTAAGTGCAGCATAGGGCCAGAGAGGTGGCTTATATACTGCGGTGAGATGAGTTGAAGCATGAGGAGGCGGGATCACAGTGGGACCTGCCACTAGTGTAAATAGGTCGTCGTCCAAAGGTTGGGCAAGTGGCAGGTCCCACTGTGATCCCCCCGCCTCATGTTTCAACTCATCTCACCGCAGTATATAAGCCACCTCTCTGGCCTTATGCTGCACTTAATACAAGAGTGATGGACTGAACACATCGAATCCAGGTTGAGGGACTGATTACCTCATACTTCTCTCCTTACCCATTTCTACTTTGTATTGGACTGATGAAGCCACTGTGGCGCGAAACTTTTCTTCAATAAAGATTCCCATGTGTTGCATAAGTGTCTCAATTCTTCAACTTGTCGGTTTTCAAAACCATTCATCACATACTAAACTGTCCAGCTATGTATTAAGGGTGATTCAGCTGGTTCAAGTAATCTCCAGAGGGAACAATGGTAAATGGTAATAGCCATTTTCCTGGCATTATTCTGTTTAAATATCCGTGTCCCTCCCCCCCCCCATCCTCCTGCTGCAACAATGGAAATAAATGGTATAAAATACAGACAATGGAAATAAACATGCAGTATAATGTGATCCTTTATTGACTACGTTTCGCCCACACAGTGGGCTTTTTCAAGTCAAACAGAACTATACATTCTACAAGATTGATGGACTGAACACATCGACTCCAGGCTGAGGGACTGATTGTCTCATACTCCTCCTCTCCTTACGCCTTCCTCTTTGTATTGGACTGATGAAGCCACTGTGTGGCGAAACGTTTCCTGAATAAAGATTCCCATATGCTGCATAAGTGTCTCAATCTTCAACTTGTCGGTTTTTCAAACCATTCATCACAGAACTATATATACTACCCCAGGTAGTTCTGTTTGACTTTAAAAAAGCCCACTGTGTGGGCGAAACGTAGTCAATAAAGGATCACATTATACTGCATGTGTGTTTATATTTCCTCTGCTGCAACAAGTCAAACCCAACTCTGTACACCTTAATTTCAATACCAGAATTATTGGTTATGTTTTCTTATGTAATGCATAAATTTTAGGTCCCGGTATTATGAGAGAACATTGTGAGGGTTATAGGTATGGAGTGGACACTTTCCTGCAACAGTTTAAAAATCCCACATACCTGTGCAACAAAATTTAAGTGATGTATATTAGTTGCATTCTAGCAAATTACTTCTATGAATTTAATAGCGAGGTTCATGCAGGTAATTTAGTTGTTGTTAGGTAAGACACATATGCAACAGTAAGGTATCTATTTCGAAACGTTTCGCCTACACAGTAGGCTTCTTCAGTCGAGTACAGAAAAGTTGATAGAAGCAGAAGAGACTTGAAGACGATGTAATCAGTCCATCACCCTTAAAGTTTTGAGGTGGTCAGTCCCTCAGTCTGGAGAAGAGCATCGTTCCATAGGTGATGGAACGATTACATCGTCTTCAAGTCTCTTCTGCTTCCATCAACTTTTCTGTACTCTACTGAAGAAGCCTACTGTGTAGGCGAAACGTTTAGAAATAAAGATACCTAACTGTTGCATGTGTCTTACCTAACAGCCTGTCGGTATTTTATACCATTTTAATGTTCAGGTAATTTAGTTCACAAATGGTATTAAACATTTCTGTACAGAAGTTTAGCCAATTTTTGAAGCACCTTACCTGTGAGCACAAGGCTCTTCTTGTGCTGCCGCCTGGAACCACCGTAGTACAAGAAGGTTGCCTGCAGGAGCGAGCCAGGACGGGCTGCATGTAGCCTAACACATCCTGCACTATTTTGTACGTCTCTCCTGCCATAGATTAAAGAGAAGTTATTAGAAAAAGGCACAATATAGTGACTAACAATACAGAAAACCCGACGTAGTTTCGGTCTGACTTTGACCGAAAGTTCATAAGCTCTTGTATTAGCGCTTCCCCTTTGATTATAATATATAATTCTATTTGCGGGTTGTGTCAATTACCACCCAAGAACTAAACCTGTAATAATCTTACAGTGGCTGGGGTAGCTAAATCGTGTATCCAAGATCATAAATTCAGTCATAAGCACCTCAACACCAGAACACTTCCACTCCTACAGATTGTTTCAACTACCAGTCAGTGTCACCTTCCCTAACAGTCTTCAAGAAGGTAGACTCCATGCCAACATAAGAACAAAGGAGGAACACTGCAGGAGGCCTGTTGGCCCATACTAGGCAGGTCCTTTACAATTCATCCCACTAACAAAATATTTGCCCAACCCAATTTTCAATGCTACCCAAGAAATAAGCTCTGATATGCAAGTCCCACTCAAATCCAACCCCTCTTACTCGTGTACTTATCCAACCTAAATTTGAAACTACCCAAAGTCCTAGCCTCAATAACCCAACTAGGTAGACTGTTCCACTCAACTACCCTATTTCCAAACCAATACTTTCCTATGTCCTTTCTAAATCTAAACGTGTCTTAATTTAAATCCATTACTGAGGGTTCTCTCTTGGGGAGATATCCTCAAGACCTTATTAATATCCCCTTTATTAATACCCATCTTCCACTTATACACTTCGATCATGTCTCCCTTCCAAACGTATCCCAACACCTGAAACCCATTCCCGAAATGCCTAGCCATGCTAAGCGTTCTAGTGGTACACTCTGTACTCACTATTTTACTACATGTAAACCACAATAACCAAATTTCTGTAAACTCAGCATTGTAATCCTTATAGAGAATAAACTTTGAAATTGAACAAGTGAATGTAACTTAAGAGTCTTCAATCTTTCTTCATAAGGAAGATTTCTAATGCTATGTATTAATTTAGTCATTCTACGCTGAATGTTTTCTAACGAATTTATGTCCATTCTGTAATATGGAGACCAGAACTGAGCTGCATAATCTAGGTGAGGCCTTACTAATGATGTATAAAGCTGCAGTATGACCTCTGGACTTCTGTTGCTTACCCTTGATATAAATCCCAATAATCTATTTGCCTTATTACGTACGCTTAGGCATTGCTGTCTTGAAAGTTAAGACACATGTGCAACATCTGGATATCTTTATTGTAGTAGACGTTTCGCCATCCAGTGGCTTTATCAATACAGATTCTAGGACATAATAGGAAGACAGTAGAACTATATACAAAAGATGAGGTAATCAGTCCCTCGGCCTTGGAGTTAGTGTTCACAGCATCGTGGTGCTGTGAACACTAACTCCAAGGCCGAGGGACTGATTACCTCATCTTTTGTATATAGTTCTACTGTCTTCCTATTATGTCCTAGAATCTGTATTGATAAAGCCACTGGATGGCGAAACGTCTACTACAATAAAGATATCCAGATGTTGCACATGTGTCTTAACTTTCATATTGTCGGTATTTTATACCTTTCTTGCACAACATTGCTGTCTTGGTTTTTAAGGTTGCTGCTCACCATAACCCCCAAGTCCTTTTCGCAATCTGTATGGCATAAGTTCTACATTATTTAACTTATAAGTGGGGTTATGGACACTCCCGAGCTTCAGAACCTTGCATTTATCTACATTGAACTGCATCTGCCACTTTTCTGACCAAGAATCGAGTTTGTCTAAATCCTTCTGAAGTTCCCTAACATCTACGTTTGAATCAATTATCCTACCTATCTGTCATCGGCGAATTTGCTCATATCACTAGTAATACCCTCATCAAGGTCATTGATATATATTATAAACAACGGGCCTAAGACTGATCCCTGTGGAACCGCACTTGTTTACAGATCCCCACTCGGATTTAACCCCATTTATGGACACTGCTTCCTGTCTGAGCCATGACTATCCACGAGAGCACTTTTCCCCCAATGCCATGAGCTGCCACTTTCTTCAAGTCTTTGGTGCAGAACTCTATCAAAAGCCTTACTAAAATCTAAGTAAACAATATCAAATTCTTTATCGTGATCAACAGCCTCAAAAGCTTTACTGAAGAAAGTTAATAAATTAGTTAGACAAGAACTGCCTCTCGTGAATCCATGCTGAGTATCATTAATCAAGCTATGCTTATCGAGATGGCTTCTTATAATCTCAGCTATAATTGACTAATAATTTGCCTACAATTGAGGTTAGGCTTATTGGGCGGTAATTTGACGGTAACGACTTGTCCCCCGCTTTAAAAATAGGAATTACATTAGCCATCTTCCACATATCAGACACTACACCTGTTTGAAGAGATAAATTAAAAATATTAGTTAATGGTTCACAGAGTTCCATTTTGCATTCCTTAAGAACCCTTGAAAAAACCTCATCAGGACCCGGCGACTTATTTTGCTTCAGTCGGTCTATCTGCTTCACAACCATTTCACTAGTGGTTAGGTAAGACACATATGCAACAGTTAGACAACTTTATTCCGAAACGTTTCGCCTACACAGTAGGCTTCTTCAGTCGAATACAGAAAGTAGGCAGGAACAGTAGAGATGTGGAAGACGATGTAATCAGTCCATCACCCTTAAAGTCGTAGAATTTGAGGTTGTCAGTCCCTCGGCCTGGAGAAGTTCAGTTCCATAGTCAGGAACTATCTGAAGATCAAGCGACAGTGCGGGGGACTTAATACTGTCGGAAGGAGAGGTGCAGGGTGTAGTAGTGTAGTAGTAGTAGTAGTAGTGAGAGGCACTGAGGGTCATGTCCCTCTCAGATCCAACCCTTCTCACTTGAAAAGCTTGTCCAAGGTGTTTTCTGTACCAAATGCCACGTGTTGCAGTGTCTGACAAGATGAACATCAAAATGGTATACAATAAACCCACAGGTTGTTAGGTAAGACACATATGCAACAGACAACTTTATTTTCCCAAACGTTTCGCCTACACAGTAGGCTTCTTCAGTCGAATACAGAAAGTAGGCAGGAACAGTAGAGATGTGAAGACGATGTAATCAGTCCATCACCCTTAAAGTCGTTTGAATTTGAGGTTGTCAGTCCCTCGGCCTGGAGAAGTTCAGTTCCATAGTCAGGAACTATCTGAAGATCAAGCGACAGTGCGGAGACTTAAATACTGTCGGAAGGAGAGGTGCAGGGTAGTAGTAGTAGTAGTAGTAGTAGTAGTAGTAGTGAGAGGCAACTGAGAGGTCATGTCCCTCTCAGATCCAACCCTTCTCACTTGAAAAGCTTGTCCAAGGGGGTTTTCTGTACCAAGATGCCACGTGTTGCAGTGTCTGACAAGATGAACATCAAAATGGTATACAATACCGACAGGTTGTTAGGTAAGACACATGCAACAGTTAGACAACTTTATTCCGAAACGTTTCGCCTACACAGTAGGCTTCTTCAGTCGAATACAGAAAGTAGGCAGGAACAGTAGAGATGTGAAGACGATGTAATCAGTCCATCACCCTTAAAGTCGTAGAATTTGAGGTTGTCAGTCCCTCGGCCTGGAGAAGTTCAGTTCCATAGTCAGGAACTATCTGAAGATCAAGCGACAGTGCGGAGACTTAAATACTGTCGGAAGGAGAGGTGCAGGGTAGTAGTAGTAGTAGTAGTAGTAGTAGTAGTGAGAGGCAACTGAGAGGTCATGTCCCTCTCAGACCCAACCCTTCTCACTTGAAAAGCTTGTCCAAGGTGTTTTCTGTACCAAGATGCCACGTGTTGCAGTGTCTGACAAGATGAACATCAAATGGTATACAATACCGACAGGTTGTTAGGTAAGACACATATGCAACAGTTAGACAACTTTATTCCGAAACGTTTCGCCTACACAGTAGGCTTCTTCAGTCGAATACAGAAAGTAGGCAGGAACAGTAGAGATGTGAAGACGATGTAATCAGTCCATCACCCTTAAAGTCGTAGAATTTGAGGTTGTCAGTCCCTCGGCCTGGAGAAGTTCAGTTCCATAGTCAGGAACTATCTAAAGATCAAGCGACAGTGCGGAGACTTAAATACTGTCGGAAGGAGAGGTGCAGGGTAGTAGTAGTAGTAGTAGTAGTAGTAGTATTGTCGGTATTGTATACCATTTTGATGTTCATCTTGTCAGACACTGCAACACGTGGCATCTTGGTACAGAAAACACCTTGGACAAGCTTTTCAAGTGAGAAGGGTTGGATCTGAGAGGGACATGACCTCTCAGTTGCCTCTCACTACTACTACTACTACTACTACTACTACTACCCTGCACCTCTCCTTCCGACAGTATTTAAGTCTCCGCACTGTCGCTTGATCTTCAGATAGTTCCTGACTATGGAACTGAACTTCTCCAGGCCGAGGGACTGACAACCTCAAATTCTACGACTTTAAGGGTGATGGACTGATTACATCGTCTTCACATCTCTACTGTTCCTGCCTACTTTCTGTATTCGACTGAAGAAGCCTACTGTGTAGGCGAAACGTTTCGGAATAAAGTTGTCTAACTGTTGCATATGTGTCTTACCTAACAACCTGTCGGTATTGTATACCATTTTGATGTTCATCTTGTCAGACACTGCAACACGTGGCATCTTGGTACAGAAAACACCTTGGACAAGCTTTTCAAGTGAGAAGGGTTGGATCTGAGAGGGACATGACCTCTCAGTTGCCTCTCACTACTACTACTACTACTACTACTACTACTACCCTGCACCTCTCCTTCCGACAGTATTTAAGTCTCCGCACTGTCGCTTGATCTTCAGATAGTTCCTGACTATGGAACTGAACTTCTCCAGGCCGAGGGACTGACAACCTCAAATTCTACGACTTTAAGGGTGATGGACTGATTACATCGTCTTCACATCTCTACTGTTCCTGCCTACTTTCTGTATTCGACTGAAGAAGCCTACTGTGTAGGCGAAACGTTTCGGAATAAAGTTGTCTAACTGTTGCATATGTGTCTTACCTAACAACCTGTCGGTATTGTATACCATTTTGATGTTCATTTCACTAGTGACTGACGTTACATAATTTATCTTCTTCAGGCCCACTATAAAAATTACTGGAATATTGTTAGTGTCTTACTGTGTAAAAGCCGAGAGAAAATAATTATTTAAAATTGAGCACATTTCATTCTCTGTCAGTAAGATGCCCATAGTTATTTATAAGGGTACCTATCTTATCTCTGACTTTTGTTCTATATACCTGGAAAAAACTTTGGGTTAGTTTTAGAATCCCTAGCAACTTTAATTTCATAGTCCCTTATAGCTTTTCTTATCCCCTTTTTAATGTCCCTCTTAATGTCAATATACTGATTCACAAGATGACCCTCGCCTCTTTTGATACTCCTATAAATTCCTTTCTTATGCCCTAGTAGATATTTCAGCCTATTTTTCATTTATTTTGGGTCATTTCTATTTGATCTAATTTCTTTATACGGGATAAAAGTTCTTTGAGCCTCTTGTATAGTGTTCAGAAAACTGTCATTGATAGCTCTCCGTTACCCCAGTCAACAGATAAATGAACATCAAAATGGTATACAATACCGACAGGTTGTTAGGTAAGACACACATGCAACAGACAACTTTATTCCGAAACGTTTCGCCTACACAGTAGGCGAAACGTTTCGGAATAAAGTTGTCTATGTTGCATATGTGTCTTACCTAACAACCTGTCGGTATTGTATACCATTTTGATGTTCATCTTGTCAGACACTGCAACACGTGGCATCTTGGTACAGAAAACACCTTGGACAAGCTTTTCAAGTGAGAAGTGTTGGATCTGAGAGGGACATGACCTCTCAGTGGCCTCTCACTACTACTACTACTACTACCCTGCACCTCTCCTTCCGACAGTATTTAAGTCTCCGCACTGTCGCTTGATCTTCAGATAGTTCCTGACTATGGAACTGAACTTCTCCAGGCCGAGGGACTGAACCTCAAATTCTACGACTTTAAGGGTGATGGACCGATTACATCGTCTTCACATCTCTACTGTTCCTGCCTACTTCCTGTATTCGACTGAAGAAGCCTACTGTGTAGGCGAAACGTTTCGGAATAAAGTTGTCTAACTGTTGCATGTGTGTCTTACCTAACAGATAAATGTTCTCTAAGCCCATCGTAATCTGCTAAGCGAAAATCTGGGACTGTTACCGAGTTCTCTCTATTATACTTCCATTCAATGCTAAATTTAATTGATTTGTTGTCGCTAGCTTCCAGTTCCTCTGAAATTTCTAAATTATTGACAAGGGATTCATTGTTTGCCAGAACTAAGTCAAGCAGGTTATTACCCCTTGTAGGTTCTGTCACAAACTGCTTCAAAATGCAATCCTGAACTATTTCTAAGAAGTCTCATGATTCTAAATTCCCAGTCAAGAAATTCCAATCAATATGACTAAAGTTCAAGTCCCCCTAGAATTACTACATTATCGTGCCTTGTGGCCCTAACAATTTCCTCCCACAGTAGTCTCCCTTCGTCCCTATCTAAGTTTGGGGGACGGTATATCACACCTAAAATCAATTTTTCATGCCACTTTGCAACAACTCAGTAGCAGGACATTTTTCATCCTTGTCAGCAGTGTCTTACTTTTTCGGGACCTTAAAGTTATGGGGCCCCTTCTCATACAGTACCCAAAATTTTTATTCACAGTGAACTAAAGTGTTTGGGGGCCCCTCGTGATAGGGACCCTGAAGTTTACGCTTCATTAGTGTCATAGATCCGCCCCTGACCATCGGTGAAGCTTTTTATCCTAGTTAATGAAAGATTTAAACAATGCAACCCGAAAATTTATTAGAAAGGGAGAACCGAATGAGCATTTACTTAGAAATTTAAGAAGTTTTAAATGTCTTGTCATTTTTGACCATGAGGGTATATCTGCAGTGGTAAAAATATATATTTATCACAAAGAAAATACGAATTAAAACACTACAAAGGAACTGTCAAATACAAATACATCATAATCATATCACTTAAATGTATAAAAAACTTAATGCTTACTTCCCCCCCCCCTCACCAAATTGAAAAGTTTTGAGTGCAGTTATGGAATTAAACCTTAAAAATCGGATAATTTATTTCCTTAAATATTAAATGTGACAAGCTCAGGGAAACTGAGTAAAGTTTTACCTGTGGTTGTGGCAACATGAACTGGCAAGGTGATGGCTCTGGTCTCCTCACAGCAGCATCCGCTCGACCTGCACACAATGCTATTAAACTAGGAATAAAAACCCATCTAAAGAATTAATTTCCAGGGAAATACCTAAACCTGTAAAGGGTCTACACTAAACTCAAAATTCCATTTATCTGACCAAAGAAAAAATCTGTCTTACTCATCGGAGTTTTGTATGGTAGTTTCTTTAAGAAGTTCCCAGAGAGCCAAGACTTCTTCCTTCTTGAGAGCGCTGGATGCCAGCTTCAGTGACTCCCGGGGAAGGTACTGTACACATCTATCTCTCACAATTAATTTCTTTTCTATTAGGAAAGAGAAGATATTCAATTTATAAATTTTAAACGGTAATAGTCAGAGAAGATCGATAAAATTATAGCTATAAAGCACCTGGAGAAAGGATGGGAGGCATTTAGGTTCAGTCCAAGGACAGGGAGCACAGGCAGGATTGGAGTGAGTGGAGACAGTGGATTATACCGCTTTACATGCTATTCTAGTGTAAACAAGGTAATATTTTGAAAGGATTTACGGAACTTAGCAGAATATTCTCGGGTGGAAACTATAGTGCCTGCACTCTCCATAAGGAGGGGAAGGGAGGGGGGCAAGGCTGCTGCAGGTCCGAGGGCCATCCGAATTTTGAAATGGCAGACTACATTTATCACAAGAAACGTAGTTTGTTTGGCGAGTGGCTGCCTTAGCATTAAAAACTAGAATGGTGGAGCCTCCATCTTCATTACCTGCAGCATCCTGAGCGAGGTGCTCGGGGCAGCAGAGAGTGGCACCAGCATCAACGGTGGTACAAGACAACTCCTCCCCCCAGGTCACTGCACACATCAACACCTGCAACAAATCCATTACGTTAAGTTGGGAAGCTAATCCTGTTAAGGCTATATACTATTGGGAAATGGGAGGCTATCAGAAGTGGAGAGTAGCTGCAGTTTCCTTAGATAAAGCCCTTGGAGTAACAGTTTTAGATTTTAAAGTATTACTAGGCATGACTACAGGAGCACCGTCTTCACTAGTTCAATCTTAAACTCATTTTCGGCACTAACGTGATAATACTGAAGTTAACTAAATTTGTAAGATTCATACAAGGTTAGATCAATGTAGATAATATTCAAAGCTAATTTATGTAAATAATATACAAGAATATACAAGTCAGCAGCAAAATAGTGAACTATATTCCATGGTGAAGCGCTAAACCCGTAGCTATCCAGCAGTTGAATAGAGGAAGGAGAGGCCTTCCTCTCCTTCCTCGAGGGGAACACGAGTGGATCAAGAACAAGGTCCGGGTGGCAGCACAGCCTCCCGCAACGAACGAAGGAAGTCCTTACGTAAATGCATTTCCATTCTTGGTGGGGAAAAATAAACAGTTTCCTAGCTAATTAATATTACAGTCTAGAATTACTTTTAAGACATTAATATTACAATGTCTGTCTTAATGAAAAAGTTTTCGTAATCATTTAAAACAAGTTTAGGAATTAAGTAATTTTCTATGGGCCGTTTTCTGAACATTTTACTTTACCTGGAGAGTTCCGGGGGTCAACGCCCCCGCGGCCCGGTCTGTGGCACCAGTGCAAACCAATCACATTAAATTTTACAGTACATCTCCTGATTAAGGTATCACCATAATACTAACCCATCCAGGAGGTCAGGGAACTTAATACAGTTCCCGCTGAAGCTTAACTAGAAGACACTGCCAAGCATCTCCATGAATACTGCATTAAAAAATAGGTTTGTGATCCAGAAAAAGAAATCGGCAATGTAGAACCGAGGACTGAGAAGATTTAATATTGTATCTCACGTTTATTATTGTAGTGGTTTAGTAGGACAAAATTTTATTTCTTACTTATTGTCAGAGTTAAGACAAGTAGTAGATGTGAAGCAGGGAAGGGGGGGGGGGGGCAAGTCTAGAGGAAGGAGTCGTCTGAGGAACAGTATTAATTAAGGCGCCTCTCACGTCTATGGTATTTATTAAATATCTAAGCATCAGGAGCTTCCCACGGAATTAATCATCTGTTTCGTGTTGCATTCAACCATTCGAGTACTTTTAACATTAACTTGAGGTAACGATCATTAGGTCCCGAGACGTAATGGTTGCAAGGAAATAAACAGCATGACCCTCACGTTATTTGCAGGTTAATATGTGAAGCCACATTACACGCTAACATACTCATTACTCACATACTCTTTGCTAATCTAGAATAATTAATGAACTCATTCTACTACACGGTCTAGCAGATTAATATACATCACTAAGTATGCTATCCTGCAATCTTTCAAAAATTAGGTACAGAGGATTTCCGTACCATTTCTAGAATACATTAAGAGGCTACGATTTTGGGGAGAATCTCCTTAAATAGAGTCTACACGAAATATTAGCTAGGTGTCCTCATTCATGGGGATGGGGTCGGGATGGTCCATCTCTGATTACTATCATACAAGTTCTTCATATTAGATGTAAACAACTATGAAAGTATATGAAGTGCTCTTACTAAAAATTTACTTAATGCGCTTCAATTAGATATAGTGGATGAAGGGAAAGGGTATAACTGATTTTTTAAATCTTTGTACCTTCCCCAGGGTGAAAGACCATCAAAATTCTTTAGCCTGTGACGCAACACTAATGAAATACCAACACAAACAGGCTACACTCACCAGCAGGAACCAGCAAGTCAACATGATGACGACCCAACGTCAAAGAATCAACGGCCAGAAACAATTCGTCTCGAATCCAGCGTTAAACAACTGGTAACCGGCCTACCTTCCCCAGCACAGCGATGGTAACTTCAGCTCACACTGCAATGAGGCTGTTAACTAACACGAAGCTGCGACACCAGTGAATTGGCCATTACAAGCCTGGCAAGTGTATACACGTGGTTAATAATGACCAGGTGGCAAGGTCTTATAATACAGCAGCAGGATCATAGATGGCACCTCAGTGGCAATAAGTCACTTCGATTATTTGGGTTATCCTACGTAATTTACACTATATACGATAATTGTACTTATGTGTACTTATGCCTAAATAAACATACTGACATACACGACTCTCTCTGGGACCAGTGTAGTGTAACTCTCAAGGATGGGTCTCAGAACCAGGAGGATGGGGAAAAGTAAGATGTCTTAAATATGTTTATAGCGCTGAGGAGCTCGAGGTAATGAGTTTTGATCCGAGGGAAGGGAAGAGTAGCTCTAATTCATTGAATCAAGAGCCCTTCACCAGCATCATGGTAAGTAAGTAAGTTTATCCAGGTATACACAGTTACATAGATTATCATACATAATAGCATATGTGTAAAGAACCTAGGATAACCCAAAAAAGTTGGACAGAGTGACTTATTTCCATTGGGGTCCTTATAGCCCTTCTGTTGTCATTAATAATACATGCCTCTTGTATTACCGCTTCCCATGGCAGACATTGGTCTGAGACACTCCCATGACAGGCAGCCAAGGCCGGGTCACCTCTTGGAAAAGGCCCGGGCCAGGCGATTATACTGGCGAATCTACAGCAAGCAAACAAGCAAGCAAGCAAGCAAGCAAGTATTCGTCTCTATAAGTAAGTAAGTAAGTTTATTCAGGTTAACACAAATGCAGTTACATAGATTATCATACTTAGCAGCATATGTGTCAAGAACCTGGGATAACCCAAAAAAGTCAGAGAGTGTGACTTATTTCCATTGGGGTCATAGATCTATTCGTCTCAACAACCGGCCCCGTCACAATCACCCCCAGTTACAACCACCCCGTCAAAACAGTCCCCGTCACAACCACCCGTCACATACCCAGCCCTGTAACGCAGATGCAGCAAGAAACCTGATTCTGTTACTTACTTATTTGCATACTTTTATTTACTAACTTACTTTCATTTATTTGCTTTTCCTTAGTTTAAACTGTATTATTATTATTAGTAGTAGTTGTATAATCATGGGGGAGCGCTAAGCCCGTAGGATTATACCGCGCATGTGGTGGGGGGATGGAAGGTATTCAGGTTCGATTCAGAGAACCAGAACACAGATCCAATTACCTAGATCAAGAGTCTCTCACCAGCGTCAAGGAACCTCCCTTGAGGGGGGTTTAAAATGTAGTTACTCTCAAGCATAGTTTTATTAAATTTTATATAGTTATCCATTAAGATTTTCTGTAAAAAAGTTCTTACTAAAGAAAACGATAAAATTAGATGGTAAACTTAAGTATATGAATCTACTACTATAAAATGTCGCTTTTTGTAAGTTTATTTAGTTGTACATGAATGGTGTACAATACTGACGAGATGAAAATTGAGACACATGTGCAACATCTGGGTATCTTTACTGTAGACGTCTCACCTACCAGTGGCTTTATCGATACAAATTCAAGGACATGAATGGAAGGCAGTAGATCTATGTACAATAGATGAGGTAATCAACCAACCAACTGATTACTTCATCTTTTACATATAGTTCTACTGTCTTCCATTCATGTCCTTGAATTTGTATTGATAAAGCCACTGAATGGCGAAACGTCTACAATAAAGATACCCAGATGTTGCACATGTGTCTTAATTTTCAAGTTCATTTAGGTACGGGTACACATGAATACAGTTAAGTAACATTACATAAGATAACACAGAAAAGTCAGACAAAAATGACTTATTTCCAGTAGGGTCCTTGATTTTTTTCCCCTCTGTTTAATGAATTGGATTTGCTTATTTTATTTGCATTAGAATAATCAAAGGTGTTTTATTTTTATTGTCAGCAGTCATGATTTTTTTACTGTATCTGATAGTTAAACTGGTGGGAGTAAAGCATTAATAACAACCCAGTGAAAATTAGTCACTTTGACTTTATTTTTGTGTGTGTGTGGGGGGAGTTATTCTAGATAATTTACATATATTACTAAGTAAGATAATTATCATCATCATCTACTGCTCTTCTCTGTATTGGACTGAAGAAACTCTTCCACAATAAAAATTCCCAAATATCTGACTTCTCTGGGTAATCCTGGGTAACTGATACGGTGACTCGTGGTCTAGTGACTCAAGCTCTGGCTTCACACGCTGAGGGTCCGGGTTCGATTCTCGGCAAGGATAAACATATTGGGTGTGTTTCCTTACACCGGTTGTCCATGTTCACCCATCAATAAAATGAGTACCAGGGTGTTGGTCGACTGGTGTGGGTCGCATCCTGCGACAAAACTGACCTAATTTGCCTGAAATGCTCAGCATAATAATCATATCAGACACAGACAGAGATGTAAACCACAGCGCTGTATCATCTTTTGCAGACGATACTAGGATCTGCATGAGGACACGGCAAAGCTCCAAGAAGATATATATCAAGTTTTCCAATGGGCAACAGAGAACAATATGATGTTCAATGAAGACAAATTCTAACTACTCCATTATGGAAAACTGGAGGAAATAATAACTAGGACTGAGTATACTACAAACTCAAATCACACAATAGAGCGGAAAAGTAATGTGAAGGACCTGGGTGTGGTAATGTCTGAAGACCTCACCTTCAAGGACCACAACAATGCCACTATCACATCTGCTAGGAAACTGATAGGATGGATAATGAGAACATTCAAGACAAGAGATGCTAAGCCAATGATCCTTTTTAAATCACTTATTCTTTCTAGGCTGGAATACTGCTGTACATTAACATCCCCATTCATGGCAGGTGAAATTGCAGAGCTAGAGAATGCACAGTGAACCTTTATTGCACGTATAAGTTCCATGAAACACCTTAACTACTGGGAGCGCCTGGAAGCACTTGACTTGTACTCACTAGAGCGCAGGAGAGAGAGATATATCATAATCTACACCTGGAAGATTCTGGAAGGACTGGTCCCTAATATGCACACAGCAATCACTCCATACGAAAGCAAAAGACTTGGCAGGCGATGCAACATACCCCCAGTGAAAAGTAGGTGCGTCACTGGTACACTAAGAGAAAACACAATAAGTGTCCGGGGCCCAAGACTGTTCAACAGCCTCCCACCAGCAATAAGGGGCATTACGGGAAGACCCCTGGTTGTCTTCAAGAGGGAGCTGGACAGATACCCAAAGACGGTGCCGGATCAGCCGGGCTGTGGTTCGTACGTTGGATTGCGTGCGGCCAGCAGTAACGGCCTCGTTGATCAGGCCCTGATCCACCGGGAGGCCTGGTCGTGGACCGGGCCGCGGGGGCGTTGATCCCCGGAATGACCTCCAGGTAGACTCCAGGTAGATAACAAGCGGCTTTCTATATAGTAGTTTATCACTGGTGTCAGCTAGGACTGTGTACCTTGTACATGTACAAAACAAATTCTGGCCACAAAATAGAGCGAAACATCAACGTCAAAGACCTGGGAGTGATCATGTCGGAGGATCTCACCTTCAAGGACCATAACATTGTATCAATCGCATCTGCTAGAAAAATGACAGGATGGATAATGAGAACCTTCAAAACTAGGGATGCCAAGCCCATGATGACACTCTTCAGGTCACTTGTTCTATCTAGGCTGGAATATTGCTGCACACTAACAGCACCTTTCAAGGCAGGTGAAATTGCTGACCTAGAAAATGTACAGAGAACTTTCACGGCGCGCATAACGGAGATAAAACACCTCAATTACTGGGAGCGCTTGAGGTTTCTAAACCTGTATTCCCTGGAACGCAGGCGGGAGAGATACATGATTATATACACCTGGAAAATCCTAGAGGGACTAGTACTGAACTTGCATACGAAAAATCATCACTACGAAAGCAAAAGACTTGGCAGACGATGCACCATCCCCCCAATGAAAAGCAGGGGTGTCACTAGCACGTTAAGAGACCATACAATAAGTGTCAGGGGCCCGAGACTGTTCAACTGCCTCCCAGCACACATAAGGGGGATTACCAACAGACCCCTGGCAGTCTTCAAGCTGGCACTGGACAAGCACCTAAAGTCAGTTCCTGATCAGCCGGGCTGTGGCTCGTACGTTGGTTTGCGTGCAGCCAGCAGCAACAGCCTGGTTGATCAGGCTCTGATCCACCAGGAGGCCTGGTCACAGACCGGGCCTCGGGGGCATTGACCTCCGGAACTCTCTCCAGGTAAACTCCAGGTAAACTCCAGGTAAACTCCAGGTAAACTCCAGGTAAACTCCAGGTAAACTCCAGGTAAACTCCAGGTAAACTCCAGGTAAACATGTAAAAATAAAGATATTATTATTATTATATATGATAATTGTATTCATGTATACTTGTGCCTAAATAAACCTACTTACACAAGTGTCTCATTCTTAAACTTGTCGGTTTTCTCAACCATTTACAACTTAACTGTAATCATCCAAAAATTGTGTAACATTATACCTAAATAGACTGACATAACATGATAACACAGTCACACTATGTGACTTATTTCTGTTGCGATTCTTACACATATACACTGAGAGATGTGTGTCTGTCAGTGTATATACACTGAGAGATGTGTGTCTGTCAGTGTATATACACTGAGAGATGTGTGTCTGTCAGTGTATATACACTGAGAGATGTGTGTCTGTCAGTGTATATACACTGAGAGATGTGTGTCTGTCAGTGTATATACACTGAGAGATGTGTGTCTGTCAGTGTATATACACTGAGAGGTGTGTGTGTCAGTGTATATACACTGAGAGATGTGTGTCTGTCAGTGTATATACACTGAGAGGTGTGTGTCTGTCAGTGTATATACACTGAGAGGTGTGTGTCTGTCAGTGTATATACACTGAGAGATGTGTGTCTGTCAGTGTAAAATACACTGAGAGGTGTGTGTCTGTCAGTGTATATACACTGAGAGGTGTTGTGTCTGTCAGTGTATATACACTGAGAGATGTGTGTCTG